ACTCCCCTGCCATAGACAGGGACACCTTCCAGTAGATCAGATTGCTCAAAGCCTCATCCAGCCTGGCCTGGAACACTTCCAGGGAGGGGGCATCCACAGCTTCTCTGGGCAACCTGTTCCAGTGCCTCACCACCTTCAGAATGAAGAATTTCTCTCTTGGATCTAATTGAAATCTATCCTCTTTTAGTTTAAACCCATTGCCCCTTGACCTATCACTACACGCCCTTGCAAAAGTTCCCTCTCCAGCTTTCTTGTAGGCCCCCTTCAGGTACTGGAAGACAGCTGGAAGATCTCCCCAGAGCCTTCCCTTCTCTAGGCTGAACAACCCCAACTCTCAGCCTGTCTTCAGAGGAGAGGTGCTCCAGCTCTGAGATCATCTTTGTGGCCCTCCTCTGGACCCACTCTGACAGCTCCATGTCCTTCTTATTTTGGAGGACTCGGAGCTGAACGCAGTACTCCAGGTGGGGTCTCAAGAGAGCAGAGCAGAGAGGCAGAATCACCTCCCTCAACCTGCTGGCCACGCAGCCCAGGATGTGACTGGCTTTCTGGGCTGCAAGTGCACATTCCTGGCTCATGTTGAGCTCCTCATTAACCAACACCCCCAAGTTCCCCTCCTCAGGGCTGCTCTCAATCAATTCTCCGCCCAGCCTGTACTTGTGATTGGGATTGCCCTGACCCATGTGCAGGACCTTGCACTTGTCTTGTTGAGTTTCATGAGTTCACGCAAGCCCACCTCTCCAAGCCTGTCAAAGGTCCCTCTGGATGGCATCCCTTCCCTCCAGCATGTTGAGTTGTCATCAGCAAACTTCATGAGGGTGCCCTCAATCCCACTGTCCATGTCCCTGAGAAAGGTATTAAACAGCACCAGCCCCAATACTGACCCCTGAGGACCACCACTCATCACTGGTCTGCATTTGGAGGACATTGAGCCATTGACTTCAACTCTTTGAGTGCAACTTTTCAGCCAATTCCTTATCTACTGAGTGCTCCATCCCTCAAATCCATGTGTCTCCAATTTAGAGACAAGGATGTCTTGTGGGACAGTGTCAAATGCTTTGGACAAGTCCAGGTAGATGACATCAGTTGCTCTTCCCTTATCCACCGGTGCTGTAACCTCATCATAGAAGGCCACCATATTTGTCAGACATGATTTGCCGTTAGTGAAGCCATGTTGGCTGTCACCAGTCACCTCTTTGTTCCCTGTGCATTAGCATCATTTCCAGCATCGTTTCCAGGAGCATCTGGTCCATGATCTTGCTGGGCACAGAGGTGAGACTGACTGGCCTGTAGTTCCCCGGGTCTTCCTTTTTTCCATTTTTTAAAGTGGGGGCTATGCTTCCCCTTTTCCAGTC